ACACAGAAATACAGGATATGATGTCACAGTCATGCAGCACGTGCCATTATGCTGAACTTGAGAACAGTTTTGAATTACCTCTATTTCACTCCGTTGCTTATATCTTAAACTGCCGCATACTCCTCACTACAATGATCTGACAACTGCAGGAAGTAGTTTCTTTTCAGAATAAAATGTTACATGAAAGTACAGTTAGCTTATTATAACCGAAAAGAAGTGTCTCTTTGGCCGTGTCTCCTCGACTGAAGCTGACTAAATCTTTGTTGATAATCACAGTTTTGCTTTTTTGTCATTAATAATAATGACAAAAATACTGGCGTGCGCCAATGATACCCATCAGCCTCACAGTAGATACATCTATGGTATCAATTTCAAAATCCTGCATCGCCTTGTTCTCAAGTTATCACATTCAAAAGAATTTAAGAAAGCTTGACCTCTGACCTTGAGGTCACCTTTTACAGCTGAGGGGTGAAAAATTATGTCAGATAAAACCAAATCATGAGATTCAAGATTCAAACAAGATAAAAACAACTGAAAGAGTTATTAAGCAGTGCAGATTACTCTTCTTTCAGTCAGCCAGTAATTAACTTATATTATTATATATATTTGTTTTAGCTTCATAAAAATCCCTTTGAGCATCTCAATGTGAACATTACACGTGTCAGGTTAATGAGACATTTTATGGAGCCCGTTTCAGCCAATAAAGACAAACAAATAAGAAGTGAAATAAGTGACCAATTTTCCTTCTTTTATGTTTTCCAGATGAACAAACTAAACATCAAACATCCCCATCAGGTCATTAACAAACTTTTCTCTCACCTGGTGAGACAGTCTTGATTCTGATTGGATGAGGACAGGAGTTCAGGACTCCTCTGACATCACCGAGGGTCATTCCCAACACAGGTGTCCCTCCAATCTCCAGGATGATGTCGCCCACCGTGGGTCCACCCCCGGGGGCGGCCGTGACGAACGGGAACTCGCCATAGTCAGCCCCGCCCCCGATGGCCAGCCCCAGCTCCCCCGAGCCACCGGTGCCGCCGCCCAGCGGGACGAAGCTCTCCTGCACCTGCAGACGACACAGAGGATGAAGTTCTCACAGGAAATGGTTCACCTCCGTTGTCACTGCAGGCGTTGCACGTTTCAGTACCTTGGAGCGCCAGTGCAGCTTCTTCACCGTCGCTTTAGACATGGCGGCTGAGCTGCAGACACAAGAACACAGGAAGTCACTGAGCGAGCTCAACAGCAGACTTCATCGGCTCACGCTGACAGGTGATCTGAACTAAACGCTGGCAGAATGACTCTGATCATTCTGTGAGCAGTTCAGCTGTAGCTGCTCCGTGAAGCAGATCTCCACGCGTCAAGAAAAACTGATAATTTAACTTCTGCCCTGACAGCAACTCAGATTTACATTCTTGGATTAAAATTCAGATCCAGTTCTTCAGTTTTCCAATTAACTGATCCATCAATGTGTCACTGTTTTCTGCCAGAGAGGACTCGGAAAGACTGAAGCGGACGACAGTAATTTGGATAAATAGCTTTCGTATCTTACTTGAACGATAATGCAGTCTTTTTTTAATTCTTCTTCTTGTTATTAGTTTTAAGCTACAAATGTGCTGCAGTTGACATCTCGTGACATCCACCCACTACTCAGGATTTTAAGGACCAGACCAGAAGTTGATTCTGGAAAACTCAAGTTTGCGTTTTCCTTCCAGCAGAAAAATCAGAAGTGTTGTTTCCTCATTATTGACATAGGATGCATTGGAAGCTTCCTTACCCCCTAACAAGCCTCCTACTTTGATTCTTTAACTTCTTGCTATCTAACTCGGATTCATCCTAAATTTTTAATAGGACACGAACCTTCTTTCCCCACTTCTATTCATGACTTACCTTCTTCTTTCCTTACTACAGGAAGCTTATTTTCTCCTATTTATTTGATTAGGAAACTTCTTTACCCTTACTTTCCTAGCCTCCTCACTTAAAAGGCCAAACAAGGTGTCTAAGAAACTTCTTTCCTTCTTTGTTTCCTTTAGAAGAAGAAGATTCTGTGTCCTCATACCCTTACTAGAAGGAAAGACCTTGTCTTTTTTGCGTCCTTGCTCAGTAAAACTTCTAAACTGCCGACCACGAGACATTTTTGTTCTGCCGCATTTTAATTTTGACCCCAAGCAGCAGAAAAACATGTCATCGGCAGAGTTCAGCTTCCTGTTTGAGACCAGCTCCTCCACAGACTCATCGACTCGCTGCTCCAGTCTGAGGGAACAGCAGATGGTGGCAGACAGCAGGGAGCCACACACACACACACACACACAGTCACAGCGTTAAACACAATCATATACACACTCATGTATGCACAAACACAGACTCGTCACTGCCACCGTTGCATTTATACACAGTTATACCCACAGGGAAACACACACACACACACACACGGGCACATACACAGGCTACCAGACGTAGTACATTAAATATGGATGAGCATATGTGAATGTGGGAGTCAGTGAAGAAACAAACAATGTCGTCCCTGAGCAGCAATTCACAATCTGAGCCTCAAAATTTATCTGACTGACAAAAACACAAGCAAGGAAGCTTTCCTGGAAGTGAGGACATGAGGCAGCTTATTTTAGGGATTAAAGAGAGAAGGAGACGAGGGGACAGCAAGGCTTCCTGGCTTGGAAGCGTGGAAGGAGGTTTGAATGTAGGCAGCTCCACAAACCTACTCTAATGAGGTTATTACAGAAAGACCTTCAGCTAAATGTTTATATGAAATGACCCATGCAATTCAATTTTTTTACAAGGTGCGATTAAAAAGTTCCAGGGATAGTTGCATAAAATTCAAAAAGCCAAGGCTGATTAAAATTTAGCCACTCACGATTGAAGGTCATCTTCGTTCCAGAGCCGACATCCTGTCCTGACCGCTCAGTTCAACAATTCACCACAGACCTCACACTTAAATGGACCTGAGCTAGATGTCGTGTGGAGGCTCATCAATGCTGATGAGAGCTGTGTCTGCAGCTACAACCGAGAAGTTTTCAGATCCACAGTTTCTACACCCAAAGGTGAGGAGTCAAGCATCTTTTATTTTGAAATTCGCGCTCTAGCGCACCATCAGTGATGAGACTGACGACTTTACATTAAGTACAAACGAGCACTGAGATGCTATCTTAACGCCTGCACCTCTCAGTTCCTGTGACTTCAGCCACCTCTGGCCCAGTGGTGAAGATCCATCAAGGACCAAAAAAGTGATGTTTTAAGCTCAATCGTGTAGCTTTTTTGATTACAGTTCGTTCATTAGTACAGATCAGTAGAGAAGGTGTCTGTCTCCCGAATCCTTAGCCTGTTCCACAGAAGAGGGGCGTGAAAGCTGAAGGCTCTGCCTCTCATTCATCTTTTAAATATCCTGCAAACCCTCAGTCTCAGAGCGAAGTGTATATAACATATTGTCTGCAATAGACTGCGACCAGTTTGAGCTGTACCCCTTTAGCCCTGTGACAGCTGGGATATACTCCAGCTCCACCTTAACTGGATAAGCAGAAGACAATAGATGGCCACAGTCATCTCAATAAAGCTTCATCACGTAAGGTAAGGACCCTAAAACATTAGAGAGAGAAGCCCAGTGAGCAGCATGTGGTGAGCGTAGGGGAGAAAACCTCCAGCATAACCCGGCTCACGAAGCAGCAGCCATCTGCTGCGACTGACTGGAGGGAGGGAAAAGAGGATCACAGAGAAACAACTCACAAACTACCTGAACTAACTCACAACCTCTTTGGATGTGGTAATGGAGCCGGAGAAGTTAATGATGTAAAGAAGGTAATGGGAATGTAAAGAAGGGGTTAAGGAAGGAAATGAGGATGTGAATAAAGTAGCAAGGAGGTAAAAAAAAAAAAAAAAGGCAGTGAGGAGCTACAAATAGTAGCAAAGAATTAAAGAAGGTAATGATGAGGTAAAGAAGGTTGTGAGGAGACATATTAGGCAGCACAGAGTTAGAGAGGTAAGAAATAAAGAGGTAAGAAATGTACCGAGGATTTAAAGAAGGCAGTGAGAAGGCAAATAGGTTAGTGAGGTGATAAATAAGACAGAAAGGAATTAAAGAATAGAGTAAGGAAGTGAATAAAGTGACAAGAAAGTAAATAAGGTAGCGAGGAGAGAAGGAAAGGATGAGATAAAGAAGGCAGCGAGGTGCAAAAGAAGGTTGCAAGAAGGTAAATAAAGAGAGAATTAAAGCAGAGGATGCACAGAGCTGTGGTGAATGGATCTGGAGGCTGAGCCGTGTTTGTCAGGATGTGCGGTGACACTCGTCGCAGCGTGAGCTCGACATGTGCCGCTATTAACACATCATTAACACATGCTCGCTCGCCCCTACTCCAGTCCCCTCTCTCCCTTTCACTTCCTGGCTGTCACCTCTTTCGCTTTAGTCGTACAAAATAAAAGCCTTTCCCAACACTCGGTGGTTTGACTCGAGCGTGTGTGGCGTACCTTTACAAATCAACGCTGTGAGCTGCTGCGCGTTCAGCTGCCATCTCCAACTATCTCAGCAGCCGTGTTGGTGTCTCTTTCTCCTCTTAGCTCCTTGGTTGTCCTCTTTAATCCTCTTCTACTTGTGTCCCTCGCTCGTTTTCACTTCCGTGGCCTCTTTTGCTGATAAGCCTGGTCAGGGTTCACAGCGTGATGTAAGTCAGAGTGTGTTTAGGGAGTGGACTCATTGCTCGCGTTATGTACATGTGTTTACAGGAATGTGTGCGTCCTTCTAAAGAAAGCGTCGGTGAGGCAAGCAAACAGTTTTGTGACCTTCAATGAGGGGTAATAAACACTCGAGACAACCCTCACTGATCGTTTATTCACGCTAAAGCCTGAGAGAAGCTCAAGTTTTCCACAGCTCACTATAACAGGCTTACACACACACGTCAGTCAAAACACAACGCCATATAAAGCAGTCATATCGCAGCTGGATATTTACTGTACTTTTATTACACATTTATTGTAGGACACTTGGGATGTATGCAAGCGAGCATTTGATATCAGTTTACTCATAGTCAGATTTTTGTCAGGTAGTTATTTTAGGTACAAAAACAAAATGTTTTGTTTGAGTTTTCTTCAGAGAATAATTCATAAGTAGGAGATTATTCCTGGGTTGGAACGCTGAAGGTAAATCAGGGTAAGACACACCCTTAGTTAGTTACAAATCCCACATAAATGTCATATTTTTTCTTACATCTGTATGCTGATTTCTTGTAACAGCATCTTTCTGTTGTCAGTAATTAAAATATTTTTGATCCTATTTCTAATGTCTCTTATAGAATCTCTTCTCTCTGTCCTTGACCCAAGCATTGCAAATTATGGGTGGGTGGGTCATCTTATTTGGTTTATCTACTTTTTGGCTCTGTGAGCGAACTCGTCGGGCCAGGACTCTGCAGTCTATTCACACCTACAGGCCAGTGGACTCTCTTTCAAGGATGAGGATGTAACAGGACAGGGAGGAACGCTGGTTTGAACACGGAGTCATTCCCCAACTCTCTGTGAATGGTTCTCATGGCCATTGATCAGTGGCGTTTGATCAGTGGCCATGACAATTTGCATATTAATGATGAAGGAACTGACCTTCCAGCCCTTTGTTCCTGTGGGCTGGTTTCAGTCATTATGCAAATGTACTGTTTATAAGATTGGAGAAACCTGAGTGACAAAACGTTTCTCCCACTGAAAACGCTTCGTCCAGATGAACAGAATCAACTTTTGGGATTTGATTGTAATTATTTGTTTACTACAAAACAATATCAATGAATTAACAAAGAGAAAGCGCATTCTGTCACGTCCCTTGGTTTCAGAGCCAGGGTTTTGAGTTTTGGGGCTCTGGGGTTTCTTTAGTTTGATGCTTTTGGTTTTCTTTGGATTAAGGTTATGTGTCTGCATTGTTGGAATTTAGTGTTGTGTTATTTCTTAGTGTTTGCGTGTCATGTTTATTGCCTGATACCTTATATAAGTGCTGTATGCTATAATTTCATGCCTTCTGTTCTGGAGATCCTTGTGTTTATTTAGTAAATTCCCCTTTGTGTTCTTCTATTCTTGACTTTTGTCTTTGTATTTCAGTTTCTCTTGTGTTCTTCGTTCAGCTGTGTCTTGCTTTATTTTGGTAATTGTTGCCATCTGTGTCTTCTGTTCTGATTACTTCCCCCTGCCTCATTTTGTTTATAACCTTATAACCTTA